ACCCCTAAACCCCTAAATAAACCCCTAAACCCTGAACCCCTAAAGCCCTAAACCCCTAAAGCCCTAAACCCCCAAAGCCCTAAACCCACCGTGAACCCCAGAGCCTTTAGCAGGTCGGACCCGCAGCTGGACAAATTGAACCTCTCGGGCCTTCTGAACGTTCTGGATGGCGTCGTTGATACCCCCGCGCACCTGGGATCTAGGGTTTTTTTTGAAGGGATCCTGGTGGGTTTTTAGGGGTTTTGGGTTTGAGTAGGTTTAGGTTGAGACTCTGCGCAGATTTTCAGGCTTTGGGGTTTAGGGTTTGGGCTAGAGTTGGGTTGGGCTTCGGCTCACTTCGAGCATGCTCTAGAAGGCTTTCGGGTGGAAAGTACTGCGGCCAAAGCCTGGTTTAATGGCTGAGCCACCGAACTCTAAACCCTAAACCCTAAACCCTTAACCCTAAACCCTAAACCCTAAACCCCAAAACCTTCAAAGGCCCGAAACCCTAAGCTCCAATAAGACGATTTGGATGAAGGTCTGAAGGCCGCCGACCCTAAACCCCTTGGCCCTAGACCCGAAGCCCCTAAATCCCCAAAGCCCCTACCCATAGGCTCCTAAGTAGCTCCTTTTTATGGTTCATATTTAGAATCCTATTTGGTAATCCCCAAAAAGGAGCTACTAAGGAGCCTATGGGTAGATTCCTGAGCTAAGACTTTGGCAGACGGAAAAAGGCCCTCAAAAAATAAAACCCTAGAACCCCAAACCAACCTGACCTAAACCCTAAACCCTAAACCCTAAACCCTAAACCCTAAACCCCTAAAGCCCTAAACCCCTAAAGCCCTAATCCCTAAAACCCTAAACCCGAAACCCTAAGCAGACCCTAAGCCCAGATCCGAATTCCTGACGTACGCTGCAAATCCTGTGCCTCCTTCGGACGTGGCTCGTTTCGGAAGCAGCGTTTCTCGGGCGGTGGTGGGGAATACCTGGCAAACCCTAAATCCCAGAGCCCCAAGCCCTGAAACGCTTTCCATCTCCCTTGCCGTAAACCCTAAACCCAAAACCCCAAAACCTTAATCAACCCAAGCCCAAGACCCTGATGAGCCCTAAGCCAGAGGAAACTCTAAAAGCCGTCAAGGCCTAAAGAGGAGCGTCGTGCTGAGTTCTACACCACGGAAGCCCGAGAAGGGCCGAAAAGCTCTCAATCCAAAGCCCTAAAGCCCGAAACCCTAAAGCCCTGAACCCTGGACCTAAAGCCCTAAACCCTAAGCCCCTATAACCCCAAACCCCAGGAGAGTCGTCGTGATGACCACAAACCATCCGGAGAAGTTAGACCCGGCTCTGATACGGCCGGGTCGCATCAACAAGCGGATCCATCTGGGCTTCGTGGATGCTGGGATCAGGTTTAAATACCGAAGCCGAAGCAACATAATCCTCTTCGGGTTCCTTAAATCAGAATTCCATTGTAAAGGAACCCCAAAAAACACTTGTTCTAATTATGAAGGCCCCTACATTCGAGGTTCGGGTCGAGGGTTCAGTAGGGCTGTAGAGTTTTAGATGGGGTTTCGGGTCCAAGGTTTATACGGTTTAGGTTTAGAGTTTCGGAGTGTCGGTTTTTTTAAAAGAGCCCTAGAGTAAGGGTTCGGTCATCAGCAACTTTAGGGGGAAGCACAGCTCGCGGCAGAAGCCTGTTCCAGCTCTCCGACTGTGATGGGATTTAGGGTTTAGGGTTTAGGGTTTAAGGTTTAGGGTTCAGGGCTTGTGTGCTGTAGGAACCCCAGTCCCAAAGCCTTGAAACCCCAGTCCCCAATCCTCGGCCCCCCGAAACCTAACCGCCACGGTTTAGGATTTAGGGTTTTATGCCAATCGGAAAGTGATGAAACCCAAATCAACTATCCCAACACGTCGAAACCCTAGTCCCAAAGCTCAAATCCTTCAGCCCGAAACCCCACAACGATCCCAAACCCTAAACCCTAAACCCTAGACCTCTAAACCCCTAAACCCCTAAGCCGTAAACCGCAGCACTAAACCCTCCCTCCTCCCCAGTCTAGGGCTTTGGATTTTTCGGAGTTGAGACAGAGCTTTGGTTTGGGAGTCGGCTTGAGGGTCGAGGATCTCTTGCTTGGGGAGTTTCCGGGGGTTCCCAATCCTAGTCTTTTAGGGTTTTAGGGTTCTTTGGGGGGTGTAGGGTTTAAGGTTTTAGGGCTTTCGGGGTTTAGGGGTTTGGGGCTTTAGGGGCTCAGGGTTTGGGGGTTTAGGGTTTTAGGGTTTTAGGGTTTTGGGGTTTTAGGGTTTTAGGGTTTAGGGACTCAATCCCGAACCTAACCGTGAACTGCCCACGACCCCGACGCCCCTCTGCTGCCCGAAGCCCTTAGTACGTGAAGATAACTTAAGAGAGATTATCGCTGACAGGACTACAACCCTACCAAACCTGGTTAGCACAGCTGAAATCCTCGTGAGCGGTCACTGACCTACCTTTTTTCTTTCAAACAAAAACAGCCTTCCGGAGTCGAAGCACCTGTGCATGGAGTTTATCACACGCACTCCCCCTTTCGTCCGTGCTTCCACAACACGACGAAACCTTAGGGACCAGCATGGAAAACAAGCTAAGTATGATACCTCCCTTGCGCACCAGGACAAACGGAAGGACCGAAAAGGGACAAAAACCGTGAATCAGGCTACATTCCGAGCTGTTGCACTGTACTGCAACATCCCTCCTTCAAAGGGATTTCGTCTCTAGCCAACGGCGTCCACAAATCATCACTAACGGGACCGCAGCCGACCACCGGGGAACCTAATACCAAAAATCACTAAGTGAAAAGGTTCTAAAAGCCCAGTCCTACTAACTGGAATTCCCCAACCCAGTCGCCACGCTCCAGCAAGCTCAAGGCTGTTCTCAAGCCTAGTTCGCAGGTCAGACCAACCTGGAAGAGGAAGATTCAATCTGAATCCGAACTCGTAACCACACCAGACTCAACCCTAAGAAGATAACCCCCCCACTAGTGCGTTGAATTCAGACTGAATCCTCTCAGGATATCCTTCGGCATCGATCCTAAAGCCAGCCCTCCAGAGGCAGAACAAAATCTTAGCTCTACACCGAACTTGCCCACTTAGGGGCAACGGAACGATGTTTAAAGGACTTGTCTGACTCCCCACATGGACTCGCATACCTTTGGATGCCATCCGGACACAGCAGGCGCGCCGTACGATTTCCCAGGTCAGCACTACCATGCCAATCTTACCAAGTTCCCACCAACAAGAACCGCAACCACAACCATCATCTCCCTCAGGTATAACCACATCCTGGTTAAGGGGCCGAACCTGCCAAAGCTCAAGTTCCTGGCTTTCCGTACACTGTTCCGAACCCGTAACCCTTAGAGCAACTTCAGAACCCCTCACCGTCTGCACCTCAAGCCATAGTAGGAGCAAAACGATCCAACATCTTTGCCACCCCGTCCAAAAAGAGCTTCCGAAGCCTCGCCCGGAACCCAGAGTTCTGAGGCCACGCTCAACTCCCAAAGAACCCTGAGATTCATCCTGAACACTTGGCATCCCTGAACTCCCTTCCGAAATAACCTGTTGAAACTCAGTCCAGTCTCCAGTATTGAGCCCACTTACAATCGCAGCTACGTCCGAAAGACTCCACCCCTGCAAGGGAACCTGAACACAATCATCCCCATACAAACAAAACAACACACCTTCCCCTGCCATATACACTACTCCTTGAGGGGGTACTCCAGGAGGGATCCTCCCTTCATCACTCACATCGGATAAATCCGCGGGATTTTCAGAGGGCTCTACTGTCGAACTCCGAGTTTCATCTTCTGAAGATGAAGTATTCAGAAGCTCGTCGACTACCGGCCTCAACCGCAACACAGGACCCGCCTGAGGCTGCCCCCTATGAGGCCTCTCGTCAATCTCTAGATCTTCTTCCTCAGAAACCTCCTCGAACGGGAATACCCGAACACCGGAGTGCAGGTACGCTTGGGCCGCATCGTAAGAAACCGGGCCATCGGCTAGCCTCTGAATCCCTTTGCTCCGCAGCCAACAAATCAGCGCATACACTACGTGGGAACGAAAGCCCCTTGCAGAAGCATACATGTACCCCCACTCAGGCGTCCTATCCCCAAGGCACGCTAAAATTCGACTGCCGCACAACGCAAACACCCTCCACAGGAAATGCACCACTATCGTAGGAGGCCACTCTACATAAGGAAAACCAGAAACCAAACCTCCCTCATCAGGCACCGACCCTCTCTCTGGTTCCGCCTCTGTGCCCTCCCGGTCATACGGGTAACCAGTCAGGATATACTCTTCAACGGCTATCTGCCATTGGGGCCCAGAGAACATCACCCCATAGGGTCCGGTCCGTAAAACTTCTGCTACTGAAGTGGTAAAGGCATGACGGATAGCACAGGACACAACCCTCAAACACCGCCATTCAGGAGACCTGGTTCCCAACCACTCCAAAACAACCACTCCCGATACCGAAAACACCTGAACCAGGAAATGAACCCTAAACCACACCCCAACCGTCGGGAAGCCCTCCAAGTTCAATTCCCCTTCTGTCAAATCCTCATAGGTCAGTCCCCAAGAATCCTGGTGATGCCCCATTCCATGACTGCTCGAGCTCCCACCGTACTGGGGATTTACCGGAGGACAAGGATCAGTACTGCTGGCACTCCCACCTACTTGAACATCTGGAAACGCCAAAGAACCTTCCTGAAACCCAAAGTCCTCATCCCGTACCCCATTCTCTGAAGGTGCCCAACTGGAACTCCCCCTGGCCTGAAGACCCGTGTCCGAGGGAACATCACCGGAACTCCCCCTAGCCTGAAGACCCGTGTCCGATGGAACACCACTGGGACTCCCCCTAGCCTGAGGACCAGAAGTTTCCGGAGCTTCTTCAGAGCCTTCTCCTACGAATAACTCTCCAGGAACCCATCGATAGCCCCCATCAATGGCCACAAAATGAAATTCTACCCTACCCGTCATCCCTATTGGCAGAGTGTGGGGAACCCCTGTATCTTGAAACCGAGCTACCAGAATCATCAGCGCATGGTGAAAAATAGTTCTAGTAGTTCGTCGAAGGTAGTCCCACTCAGCAGACCGAAAGCCCAGGTATCTCAACAACAGCCCACCTGGCAGATCCAGAAGCCTCACTAAACCCAAACCTCGATAGCCTTCCAAACCTACCTCTCCTCTCCCTGAACCAACTTCCGAATCCAACTCTCCAGCGCTGTCTGAAGCGTCATCCCTTCTGGAAGTAAGCCACTCCGGGGGAGCACCGTAGCGCTGTTGGAACACAGGGGGTTCTACAATATCCCCGCTAGCCAAAGCTCTTCGAAGCCTGCATCTCTGCACAAACGTTAGGCCTGTAAACCTTTCTTGCCTTTCAAATTTGGCCTGAACAGCCAGCCACTCTTGATGTGTAAATTCGTCATCTTCAGACCCTCCTTCCGAGCCTGAACCAACCTCGCCTACGGCTTCACACGCACCCTGGGGACCGGAAGCTGCCTCTGAATCGATCTCAGGCATGACAGGTGAGACCTCGTTTGAAACAGCCCCCTCCAAAGAGGTACCCTGAGCTCCACTCGTTACCTCCTCAGCGGGGCCGCTATCACTTTCCAAAACCAGGTCCTCAAAACCACCTTCAAAAATCAGCCCCAAACCATCCGAAGCCAGCCACCAACCCCACAGGCACGCAGCCCCAGTAACCACTACCCCAAGGGTCCAAACCAACCAACTCATGGTTACATCCAGCCGGTCTTCAGCTGGTTGCCCTTGGACACGTGGAAGCAGTGCCAGTAACGCCAAGCCTGCCAGGGTCTGCGCTACAACCCCTTCCGACAAACCACTCCCCAACATCCTAGCGTTCTTAGCAGACTCCGAAGCCACAACCTGACTACGGATATTCAGGAGTTCTAGTAGCTGCAGAATCCGGGCACGGGCCAACGGTTTTGTCGCTATATCAGCGATCTGATATTCTCCTGGCAAATGCGTGACACGCAAAAGATCAGCGCTGATTCTCTCACGTGCGGCGAATGCACGCATGCGCAAGTGACGGCTTCGCCATCCGGCCGGAGCCGCATCAAATGCTCGAATCGCTGCTTCGTTGTCGGCTAAAAGCGAAACAATGGTATCTTGCTCTAAAAGCTCATTCACTAAAGGCTGGACTGCCTCTGCCACCTGTATCCCCGAAATCATGGTAACCAACTCGGCCTCTGCCGACGACAATGTCACAAAAGATTGACGGGAAGATTCCCAAGTTACTGGAACGCCCTTCCACAACAAGAAGATTCCTTGGATGCTGCGCCCTCCGCAAGGGCTATGCGAAGCGTCCGTATAAAGTTCCAGCACCCTTTCCGTACGCGGTAAAGAGAGCAAGC